TCTTCGAAGTCCTCTTCTTTTCTTGAAGATTCCCCTCATTTCAGATACAACCCATACAAAGCAACGCCGTTATGATGCTGTCGTATCGCCCAAAATAAGGATTTAAACATTTTGTCTTTTGCAGGAGAAAGAAACTACGACGCGTGAGTACCATCGACAAAAGCGAGCCAGTTTTTGATCAGCATCTGGTGCAAATGGTATTTGGTTTATTTGAGATTCTTGAAGGAATACACCTTGTGCAATTTCTGCAATGTGAAAAGGCCAAAATGATGTTCAGTAGTTTCTTCTCTTCTATCTTACAAAGTCGTTATTTTTCCTGGAGTAATTTTCACAAAAACACACACGCATCGATGCAGCGCAAAATTCCTTTTTTCTTGCATAGCAGCTTATGCTTTCCTTATGATTTGACAAAATGCGAAAATTTTATGTTCATTTGCAGTGACATAGCTCTTTCTGTGTAGACAATAGCTTGAATTTATTGGTCACTTTTAAGAAGACATTTCGATATCGATATTCTTTCTTGCTGTGGCGTGTAAGCAAACCTATCATTAGAATACCATTTAATCTCTAGAAAAGCCTGACCTGTTCTATTGCGTTCCTTTCAGCTATCAATACAGCATTTCGATTTATCGTCACTTCGTCACGTTGACATTCAGCACCATCCTGAGGACCGAATTTCTAAGTCTCCTGTAGTGGAAGATGATATGGATTTGTCAGAGAACTGGCAAAAATTCGAAGAAGACAAAGAAATGGATACAATTAAAAAAAGTAGTGATTTGGCTTCTGATGACGAAATTGATGAAAAACCGTCACCCGCACATTCGTCCCAGGATCATTTTCATGAAAAAGTACAGTCTAACCAAACATCTGAATCCTCCAACCTTTCAAGTGTATTCGATATTGAATACCGAAAAACAGATCTTCCAGAGGAATCAGATCTTCTTAAAACTGAAGTTGGCACTTTACCAGTTGAAAGTCAGCAACACTGAAAAAAACCCATTGGGAGGTCCAGGAGCTCAAAGGCCCGGATGAAAATTCAAGGCATTCATGATCAGCTGTTTTCTCAGATAACAATAGATCATCATTATCTGCTGGTGATGTATTAGTTTCTATAATTGTAATGGAAGCGGATGAAAGTTGACTGATGTGTCTGCTTGAAGAGATAAGGATCACATTTGATCTAAGAACACAAAGCTTCGCTAGATTATTTTGCAATATTTAGTGACTGCATTGCGGAATATTTTTCTTTGTGGAAAGACGACTTGATTTTAAACAGATAACTACGTTGTGAAGTTATTGTAACAATATTTGATAATTTAAAACGCTCGGCGTTTGATTGTTTAAGACGAACAACTACAGAGTAACTGATTCATGTCTAAGATCACGCGCAGTCATTCCTCAATTCATCTCAGGCCCACCAAGAGTGTTTCTGGGGCATGGGGCAAAAAAGAAAGATCGGGCCCTTGACGATGTCCTTATAGCTTCGATTGTAATTTTGTTTTTATTTAAAACGATATGTTAGGAACTTTTGATAACTTTTGGGGCTCCCCTCGTCTCGGGGTCTGGTACAATCTGCCATCATGCCCTCTCTTGGCGGGCCCGGTTCAGCTACACAGCAAAGTATATTTGTCGCTGCTGGCTGCGTACAAAAATTTTCTGCACGTAGCTTGGAATTACTTGAAAAAAGCTGATTTGGTTTGCGATTTAGAAATTAGCGATTTAGAAATAATCATTAGCAATTTAGAAATATTTCATTACTTGAGGGAAGGCTCAATTTTGATTTTTTAGAGTATTTTGCGGTCTACGTCTATCTTATAGAGCTAGGCTTTGTTCCAGGCACTCCAATCAAAGTTGCGAAATGGTTAACTTGCTACTATATCTAACGATGCTATCATGATATTGTATTATCGAAATATGTATGCAGTTATCTTACGCAAACTCATGCCAACGAGCTGTTCGTACAAAAAATTAAGAAGAATATTAGATTTCGTTTTAGATTTATAAAGATTTCACATATTTTGACTCAAAATTGCCGCCTGCTTTTGATTATATGGATATAAAGGATGATATAATCCCTTTGTAAGCATGTTCACTTCAGTGTGAAGAATCTTTTCATTCATTATGATATTTCTCACAAAACCAATTCAAATTATACTTAAATTGGCATGCACCCTTTGTTGTGGGCAGAAAAGTTTCAGCATTTTCTGACCCCCAAAGCTAACGCTAGACAACGTACCTCAAGCCAATCATTCGTTTAATTGGAATAAAATGATTTGTAATTGTTAATTCTAAATGACAGATGTTGAGTATTTGTTAAATTGTGTCTTTATTCATCACTTTGCCTAATTCTTGTAGCTCGACAACAAAAGCCTAATTGTATTCTAGACAATCTGTAATTTACCAGCGCTTGAAATCTGTTTTTGCGATTATTTATAGAAATCGGTTGAAACTTTTTACTTGAATGGAGAATAGAAAGAATGCCTATGACATGTGTGTTTGGTTTTCTGTTTGGCATTACCTTTTAGAAGTAAAATTCTTTCAATCAATACAACAGTTTCTCGTTATTTACATCGATGATGTACTCTCTGAACCAAAAACACTCTTTCCTTTCTTCCCCGTCTGTCACTAGAGTTTTAGCATTTTTTCTCTATTTTTTCAAAAAAATTTCTAAAAATAAATAATCAATGTTTCTCAGAGAATCGTCGAACTGTCTTTTCCTGAACGGTGTAGTAATTTGTTAAATTTTAGTCTGAAAGATGCATTTTTAGCCATTCTAGAAGGCTTAATTTCAAAAAAAATTTCCGAGTCGGACCCAGCTGGTGGGTCCTATGTCACTAAATTTGACTCATTGCCCTCCCCCAGGTTAAATTTCGTGGCACCGTCTCTGCTATTTTGTATCATGCTGATTTTTTTCGTCAGGAATTTATTGTTGAGAACCCATTTGGAGAAATAGAAACTGTTTGATGTAAGAAAAATACTTGGTCGGCCTGCTGGAAAATTGTAAATTTTCAAAGCACTTCACCGTCTGTATAAAATACATATTTTGAAAAGCTTTCTTAGCAATTTATCAAATAAGATGTATTATTCCTTTAATTTTCTACGCAAAGCAAATGAAATTTGACATATTGAATCCAAAGGACGGCGTATTAAGCATGTTTTTATTGGGAGGGGCTCAAAAAAATTTGAAATGGCTTATCCAGGAAGATCTTGAGATAATAATTGGTAGTACCAGTCTTATGAAATTTTCTGGGGTATCTGCCCCAGCTTACCCCCAAAAGGCTAAGTTCGCTGCCATAAGGTTTGAATTTTATTAAGCGTGTTTTTGCTACTTGTTCCCCTTTGTGCTGCGCTACGCTGCTAGTTGAGACATTTCCTTTTCGGAATAAAGTTTCTTGAATCGAACTTCAGAGGCTCGAAAGATCTTTATTGGAGGTTCAGGCCTTCGATTTGACGACAATGATACCACTGAAGCAAGGATGGAAAATTCAAGCTGTCTCACTAAGTATAATCAGTTACAATCTGCCAACGTACATTAATTTTGCCTGACACTGACATTTTTCAATGCACTGTCGTCGCTAAAGTCTTTATTTGTCTAGGTAGCGGCTCTAATAACTTTAAAATGGCAATGATATCTATTGCATAGCTTTCGATTTGACAACTTGTTTCTTGACATTCTATCTCAACTACCTCGTTTCCCGCCATTTGCTACCTCGGTTCCCGCCAATGACTTTCGCAATGCCAAGTGGGAAAGTTTTTCAAGCCTCGGATAGAAGTTACAAGATTCAAACAATTTTGGACCAATCAGAGTCGTGAAAAGTGGATATGGTGACATCACTGGCTCTAGCTTTCTGCATATCGACCAGTTGCGGGAAAATGGCTGCGCTAACGGACTACAATTCCCCTGGAACTCCAAGTCGGCATGAGAAGTCACTGGGTCTTCTAACATCGAAATTCGTAAGCTTGTTGCAAGAAGCGAAGGATGGTGTTCTGGATCTGAAAGTGGTAATGTTTTTCGTGCAATAACTTTCGAACTGACAAGGTCATGTTGAGTGGAACACGCACGCACACACGATCATGGTATCTTTTTGTTTGTGAGGGCCTAGAAACCAAAGGGAAGGAAGGCATCATTGTCATCAGATATCTAACGCTACCGCGCGATTTGCCTAAATTTTAGATTCTCTCATTCCGTCTCCCTTCATTTGTCCTTCAATACCAGTAATGAATTTTCTGGAGTTTTATGTTCTTTCGGGTGGTTCACCTCTCAGCTGATTGCATTCCAATCGCTTTATCTTAGCGTATCTTTAATCGGCCGTATCATCGCAAGCAGGAGGTTGGTTATTGTTAATGGGGATCATGAAGCGGCTTCGCAAAAATTGTAGCATGATATCCAGAAAACCTCTAAGGGGGCTCATGCTCTTTACTTTGAAGCTATATGCAAAAGTGTAATATCCTTTCATCAAGTATTCCCCGGATTTCTGTTTACCGTTTTGCAATTTCCTTGTCTGGTTTAAGAAATTTTTTAAGGATAATGTAAGTTTAGGTTATTCATTTTCTACTTGAATTTTGATGGGCTACCCCTTGGAGGTTCATTGTAACTAGTTATTGACCCAGGTTCACTAATTGAAAATAGCTGAAGCTGTTGAGCAAATAACAAATATTTGGTTTGTGTCAAAAATGTCATTTGGTTGACTTACTTTGTTAGGCAATGAAAATTTTATATGTGTTAGGCGCAATTATATATGTAGTGTGACTCATGTTCCACAATGTGCTTTTGTTGCTTATGCCCTGCCATCAATCCCTTCTGTAACAGATTCCAGCCACACCCACAATATAACTTTGAAATCTCTAACCATGACTACTTCTTGAAAAAGATTGATCAGACATCTAAAAGATTTTGCCAAAAGGTCTGCAAATAGAGCTATTATCTGTTAATGTAAAAGGTGTGCTCTGCTATTATCTGTTAATCTAAAAGATGTGCTCTGCTAATGATTGCAGCTTCAACTGCAAATGAAGCAGTATGTGTTTAGCTAACCATATTCCTAGAATGAACAACTTACATTTCAAAACAACAGAAAAAGAAACTTCAGGAATTCCAAAGGCACCAGGAATTAATGTAAAATTATAAAAATTGTACAGTGAAAAAGACTTTACAGTTTTGCTTTATATGTCTTTTGCATTCTTTGCAATATGTGGAAGTAAAACCCTATTATGTTTTTGCAGAGCAATAGCAATCAACATTTACAGAACATGAATGTATAACTGAACCCTGTATTGATAGCTATTAATGTCTTGTTAAGTTTTGCCAAATGCAAGGGTATTAAAAATGGTATCAACCCCCTGCAAATTCAAATGTTATCTTTTTCATAGGCTGCAGACCAGCTGGCTGTCAGGCAGAAAAGAAGAATTTATGACATCACCAATGTTCTTGAAGGCATTGGTTTAATTGAAAAGAAATCAAAAAACAGTATTCAATGGAAGTGAGTATTAGTTTTTTGCGCGATGCTTTTTATTTTGAACTGCTTTAACTATTTACATGTTTTGCCTTCAGTTAGCCTAGTATGCAGCAGAAAGATATCATTGAAAAAAAGTCTGTGAATTTTTCTATAAAGTAAGGCTCTCTGCAAACATAAAACCGGGTATTCTTCTCCATTTTTCCTCACTTGGTTAGTAAGATTGTATTCTTCATTTTCTTTAAAGCTATTAGTGTTAAAAATTTAGCTTCATTTGAAAAATTTTGAAACTTTTCCAAAACTTTGAAATAATTTTACCTAACATTGAAGATTATCTGCCTTGAACTTGTAACTGCATAAACTGAACTGCCTACTGTCAAAGTCCCAGAATGGCCAGTAGTATATAGATATATTTCTGTAAAAATGCAAAATGTTTTTGTGCAGTTGTCAGATGAGTTGTGCAACAATCGAAGCAACTCCTGCAATGGTATCAACTCACAGATGCAAGCACACACCGAACCACAACCACCAGGTTCTATGATTGCCTAAAATGAACAAAGTATCCAAACATTAAGACAAAGATGCAAAAATCTTCCAAATTATGTTTCTATGCTGCAGGTCTTGTTTGCTATCATACCAATTATTGAAATGGCATGTTTTAGATGAATTAAATGAAATGGTATGTTACATAAGGTATAACCCTGCCCTAGAATGATCAAAATCAGAGAAAATGAAAGCCTGTAGCCAGAGAATGTATTTAGTAGACCCCATCTGCCCACAGAAAAATTGCTGCTTGTTCAGCATTAATCTCAAGGGTGCCTATCGATGATTGTATTGCTGTTCACTTCTCTTGATGGTTTGCCATACGAAGTTGTACTTGCTGCTGTATTTTCCCATATGACAGCTTCATCTTTGGGTACAATCCTATGCCTATTTTTTAGACCTACCCTCATGAGCTCATCCATGTGGGCAGTTTATCGCCCTTGTGAGCATTTTGTAACATAAAGGCAGGGATCAAGGCTTTTAACAGGAATCTATACATTAATTTTTCAAATCCACCCTTCCCACATCCCTCTTGCTAAAGATTTTATTGAAAAGTTTTGAGTCTTATGTTTGTAGTTTGTTGGTAAAGTATTTTGCTGTTACACTGTCTGAAATCCTTTCTGTGTACAACGAATCAGCATCAGTGTCTCAAAAAGCCCAGAGGTTGGAAATTTGTCCAAAAAAGTAAGCAAGGGGTGCCCTTATTCAGGACCTAAGTGTAGCTAATTGAAGGTAAAATCACTGTTTGAAAAAGCATTCAAGGTTTTCATAAAACCAAATATTTTTATGGAATTTGGAAGAAGTGTCTTGAAAAGAAAATAATCTATCAAAAAGCATACATGTCACTAGGCCCTGTTGCCATTACTCTGCTTTTGTGTTTTAGATTTTGAGTTCCATTAAAATGCTCAAAATCGAGTCATTTGATACAAAACTGGAGTCATTCAAAAATGCTGATCAAAGTGGAGTCATTCGAAAACAGAATCATTTGAAAATCCATTGTTTTATTGGAAACAGTGAAGACAGAGGCATTCGAAAAGGGAGTCATAACTTTGATACATGATACATGCTTGCTTTTAGGGGTGCTGGACCTGGTTCAAATACCAAAGAAATATCAGATAAACTTGGGGATTTAAGAAAAGAACTTGATGATCTTGAAGACATTGAAAAAAGGCTTGATGAACAGAAAATTTGGATTCAACAAAGTTTGAAAAACATTTCTGAAGATCCTGACAATGGACCTCATGCCTATGTAACACATGAAGACATATGTAAATGCTTTCATGGAGAAACCTTACTTGCTGTCCAAGCACCCTCTGGCACTCAGTTAGAGGTTCCTGTACCTGAAAATGTAAGTTCTTGTAATTCTAGAGTAAGTTCTTGTTTAAAGCCATTTTCTCCAAGTATTATATGAACTGTGACAATATAACTTGAAAATAACTTCAACCTGTGTGAGGAAAGTACTTCTAGTAACATGTATGAGACAATCGAGATTGTGCCAACAAATGTAATGGTCCCATTTTTTGGCTAATCAGCAGGGCTTAGTCTTCTTTCAATCTAGAAGTTTCACTTTCACCCTGGACGACATTGGTAATATTTTCAAAAGGCAGACCTTAACATTCCTGCTAGGCAACCTTAACAGTTTCTGTTGGCCTATTTCAATCCACATATTTCTTTGCTTTGGGTTGTTTTTATCAGTCTGATTTTCTATACTCTGAAGAGTTTCAGACCAAAAGCTGAAGAGTATCAGATGAATTGAATGTTTTCAAATATTATTTTTTTCAATGCCATTTCAATTTTCTGTGCCTCCAAAAAAACTTGTACTGTTTAACAAATGACACATCAAAAACGGCTTTCAAACATTATGGCATGATTGCCTTTTTTCTTCTTTTCTTTCATATGTTTGTCAGTATATATTTCAAAATGATTTAAACTATACAAAGTCAACATTTCTACAATACCATTTATCATTTTTTTAAGCTGGCCTAAAAGTGAGTAGGCCCCAAGTGTTCTAATGACAGTGTTCATATTCAGTTTCACTGCTAAAGAAGGCAGTTCTTTAAATATTATTTAAATGCTCAATTGTGGTTCTGTCCTCAATGAATAATATTCTATTTTTCACAGAGCGGAATACCGAACAGCAAGTATCAAATTCATTTAAAAAGCAACAATGGCTCAATTTGTGTCCTACTTGTAAACAGAGATTCACCGCAAGATCAGCCTGTTGTAGTCACTGTTCCCCCATCAGATTATCAAAAGGAGACTGATAAATCAGCTGATACGCAAAAGAATAATGGAAACAACAATAAACATAAAGAAAAGGTTAAAAAAGGTGAACAAATTGAAACAGATTCCACAAGTATGCATTTTGTTGCTAATTTGTATTCATAATCTGTGAAAAAAAATCAATTTACTTCCTCTTATGCAAATATTAATGATTTGTTTCTTAAAAGAGTATAAGAAAAATTAAAGGGAATCTATTTCTTGTTGAAGTTAAGGATTTGCTTTTTGAAACAATTGCTGAACTTATTATGAAAGCTTTATAGAAGCATTCATAGGTAACTTAGATAGGTCCATAATGATGTCACCTATCTACTGAAGTTATGAATTCCCAACCCCCTCCCCCGAGCAGTGCAAGAGAGAAAACAAATTCTTACTGTATACACAAATATTTATACTTTGGATCCACATACGCATATACATTTTTACCTAGACCTTTGCTCATTTTCCAACATTTATATACAATCTTAGGAGTTTGAAATGGAAGTACATTAAGTCTGATATGTTTCTGCTTTTCATTGCTTTGGTATGTAACTAAGGTATGTATTGCGTATAAATCAAATTTTGCCATCTTAAAGAAAATCATTGAAGCTTAATCTTTAAGAGGTTCTCCTTGCTCAAGATTGGGGTAACTTGCTGATCCATATGATAATCATAGCCTATGTTTATGATTCATAGGTTTAAAAACTTTGAATGGGCAATAACATCAAATTGATGTTTAAAACAATCATCTGATTATTCTATTTTATTCTTGAAGCACCAATGGAAGACTTTGATTCAGCTGATCAAGAAATGAGAACAATATCAGGTATGTTTTTTTAAATATAACACATATTTTAGGTTTGTTTTGCAGTATTTTACCAACACAGAATGTCTATTTGTTTTTTACCTGAATTTTTTCTCCTCTACTGTTCTTTTTGGCATATTTCAAGAAACGTTACTCATTTGAAAATTATTATTTAGTTGGGTGTTATTTTTTGGTTTTATGTCAAATGGTATTTGGCAACGGTTGTTTGCATTATATCAAACTGTTTAAATCAATATGAACTTGAATGTGGAGTCTGTGATGCTGCTTATTTTTGAGTTTTTCAGTTTTTAACCTCTACCATCTGAATTTTATAGCATATTTCTCATTTAAGGGCAAAAAATTGTTGAGAATAAAAGAATTAAAGAAAGATATTAATTAAAACAGTCTATAAAAAATCCTTTCACATTCACTTGGATGAGCACCGTATGTAGGATGAGCACAATTGCTGTGTTAATAGCTGGAACATCATACAGTCATCATTTCAAAATGCTTTGTCGACCCATGATTGGATCATTTACAAAGACATTCACATAAATACATATCATACTTAGTAATTGAGAGAAATGACTATGTTTACCACGCCAAAATACTTACCATATCATTCTATTTCCACATATAATTAAATCTGATTTTGCACTTGTTTTATATACTTATTTTAATTCTAAATTTTGCAGAAGACATCGAAGAAGTGATTGATGGCTTATATAGCTCCGAAAGTAAGTCAATAATCATATTAATTTGCAATATTTTTTCTTCACCAAATACCTAATGCTCCGCATCAAGGTAATAGCAGCAAATTATTTCTTATCTCTGCATATATATTTTTTTAATGAATCAATAAAAGCGTTTCAGGAACAGAAAAAAGTTTTGTTGTATACGGTTTTGAATGGTGTCACAATAGTAGTTTTTTGGTAACATTTCGTTTCTATTATAATAACAAATTGTTTATAAAGTTTTGCATCATGATGGCTGTAAGCTAATTAAAACCAATCAGTAACCGAAACGAAGATTTGAAGTAACTGAAAAATAGCTATGTAGACTTTTGCCCTACAAAGAGCGATGAAAAAACCCTCAATAACTTAAGAACCTCTTACACAATCTACAGTTTCAGTTACTTAATTGCTGCTTTTTCAAATTTCCGCCTAATTTCAATCAAGGTACGAGACTCTTTTATTTCTAGTGGCAACGAATACCATAATATTAAATGCTCTTCCTTCTACGATTTTACCCAATTGCTTTAGGCTCTCGGAGAAAATGAACTTATTCTTGAGAACTTTCATTCAACAGCCCTCTTTAACTTAGATCATTGTCTTCCAATTTTCAGATTTCTATGTTTTTCTTTACATTGCAGTATTTGCTCCATTATTGCGACTTTCTCCACCACCTGGGGAGCAAGACTATTACTTCAACCTTGAAGATACTGAGGGAATATGTGATCTTTTCGATGTACCTGGTCTCCAGAATGTTCAGCCTGTAAAAAGTAGTCTGATTGGCAGCTCATAATACCATCCATCACCAGAAGAGGTAACTTTATTTCATTCTTCGCACCGCATGGTTTATAGCTTTGCGTAGTTGGATATGTGTTTGTATATATATTTTTCAATAAACATTACATGAAGCGCATTTGTACAAAGGCATATGGAATCGAAACACGTGGCATTCAAGTTACTGTCTGCGAATCTTTGCTCGTAAGATGCTTCAAAAGCTGTTGGATGTTTTGCAGTAAGAAGATTATTCCTCACAATTATCCATTTTCAAAGTTTCAACAAATGCGTGCTCGGCGCAGTGAAGCTTTTGCGTCCAGAGACAATTTCCATACGATGTATCTTGATAGGTGTGCTGGGCATAATTGTCCCAGTTGATCTTTAAGTTTCTGAAAAAAAGTCGAGTCAATTATTTTTTGGCCATCAGGTAACACTGAAGTCTCAAATTTTCGTCTCCCTGTTAGTGTTTTATACAGTTACTTTTTTGTATATTCCATAGTCGATCACTTTTGATCCTATGGAATCCTATTGGATCCTAATAATTGTTCCACATTATATTTACATAAAGTGAGATACTTCAGTCAAGGGTTGGTTCATTATTTTGTCTGTTTTATCCATACTTGATTCAAGAATATGATATAAATCGAACTTTAAACACCCTATTACTTTTGAATTTTAAAAAACTTATATATGTGAGAATTGGTTTAGTTTCGCTAATGACGAAAGTTTCTCATAAAGAGATTGAAACCCCTTCTTGACTTTTTATAAGCCTCTGCGTTGCTGCATTCATCGCCTTCAGTTTGGCTTTCTCTAGAACTTTTTTGTCTTTTCTCCTCGAGTTCAGTTTTTTGTTAGTGAGATAAAACAGCAATTTCTTACGAATATGCCCAACCTCCTTGTTATCTTAGCCAGCTTTCTTTGGTTGCGTTCTTGCAACAAAGTTGAAAAGGTTATTCATCGAACTAACTTTTAGTATGTTTGGCTAAAGTGTTTGACCATGGCAGTAAATTTGAGTAATTTTCACCAATGGATAATCAAAATCACATCATTATATTTCAGAATGTTTAGTTTAAACGTTAATGACAAATACTGTTCCCGGTCTGTCATAAATTGGTCGATACCGTTTAGGCAGAGTTGTACAAGCTTTTAGTGTAAAGAACAGGACGATTTTTAGTTGCTACTCTGTCTTTCATGCTTAATGCGATCATCAGGCAACTAGTTTTTGTGTACAAAGAATGAGTACACTGTGTTTATTTTATGTTATCAGCAAAATATTAGTATTCCCTAAAAAGGTTTCAAACTCTACAGCAACCACCTGTGATCAGTAGATAGATTTTAGCTTTGAATTATTCCATCTGTTCAAGTATAGTGTATCTTGATATCATGAGAGTAGCCAGGCGGTGGTCAATTGAATGAAAGTTTAAGTCCATGTCTTCTTCCTTGTAGACACCGCGTTGAAGTTGAATGTGGCGTTAAGCCAGGTATATGATATCAGGACTGAATTCATATATGAACTGGCGACAAGAAACGTCGTGTGCATGAAAACCAAACAGACACAGGTTTATTTTTTAAGTTGTATCATACACACTTGTATCCTAGTTTTGTTCACTGTTAGTTTCTATGATCTGGCGAATAAATTTGTGAATATAAAGACTGATTTAACGATGATAGTTTTATGCGTAGTCCTGTAAAAAGGAATTTTGAGGGGGACGTGTTGGTTTGCTTTATTCACGTGAGCCAAGAACTGAAGGACAATCGTTATTAATTTAGTTAGTATTGAACGGCTTAGTCTAATCCAATGTGTTGCTCGTATTACCTCATTCTGGATATATGACTTACTTTTGATGGCTTTCTAACACTCAGTAGCTTTACTTTTATTGTGTTTGAGATTACCTTGTAAGAAGAGGTCTCATCATGTCAGAGGCCAAGGTTCACAACTTCAATTCACTTCTGAAAAAGAGTACTGGCCTATGTTATTCCTGTTTCTTGTGAGACCTAAATGTGAACATTCGTACCCTATGAAATAGTTTTTAGGAAAGTAACGTTTGCTTTGTGAAAATAGTTTATCGTAGAGAGTCCTAACCATCCCTTTACTAATTCGTATTTCAGTGATTGGAATTTTTACCAAAGTATTCTTGAAAATGTTCAAAATATTCTTACTGTTGTAAATCACAATATTTATTGTTCTAATGATCGTATATATTATATACGTGCTAAAAAAATCCTACGGGGAATGTATTTTAGCCCTCAATATACGTCGAAGTATTAGATGTCGCACTGGTTCCTAGAAGGAAATAGATAGAATTAATTCGGAACAGGTGCATATTTGATCAGCCACGATGCTACTACAAAGTTACATTCGTCAGAAATTGTTCACGTTGATTTGTTTTCTTATTTTCTTATATATTCATCAGGAAATCAGTTAATTCGCGTAAATATCTGGAGTTGATAAAGCCTCAGGTTCTGGTAGTGTCAAGAGGGCTCACTGATTTTAGTCCTGTTTAGTTTTGATTTTAGTACGAATGTAACTCGGATGATGGCTCCCCTTTCTGGCGGAAAAGGGAAGGGGTGTAGCTAGGCAAGTTAATTATGAGTCCTGTTTACGACCCGCAGTAGAGGGAAGTTCCTGTTAAAGCAATAAAAGGGTGTTATAAATTAAAATCAAAGCTTATCGCATGCTATGAACAACCAAATCTTTGTCTGTTTGTATTGCGGCAGCTCTACTTTTTGATCAATGAGATTTTTAATTATTTCATATTTTGTTTGTTTTGTACTGATTTTGTTACAATATTGAATAGAATGATACGACTGAGTTGCTCTTTAGTTGGTTGTGTATCGAGGCGTTGTTGATGCAAAATATCTGATAACAATGTCTGCCAAACCCAGTCTGAAATGATCATGATTGTCGCTTCTTTCTACTTTTATGGTTTGTCCAGGAATACAGCACGTGGAGTGACGCATTCTCCATAGCTGGAATACACTACAAGAAGTAGTATTACCTTAATACTCTGTAGCCCTGAATTTTGAGGTAAAAAATAATTGCATTTTCAAACACCGATTGAAAAACGTCAGCTCACAACCGTTTATATAGCTTTCCTCGCCTTATTGTCTGTGTCAAAGCCTTGAATTATATAATCAACTGATTCATTTTCCTTCCATTTTTCACTCAAAAAACGGTCTTTGTTCCACATATTTCTTATTATTATTGAACAAAACTATATTTGCACCGCAACTGGAAGTTTCTGAAGATAAAGAACAACAAAAGTTAGTTATCAACTACATTTATAATTTTAGTGGTCTAGCTGTAAGCATTAAATGATTTTTTTTATGAAATATTAGCTAAATATATCTACAAATAGAGATCTTTTATTCGGAAAGACGAACTTCTTTTATAATACAAAAAAAATTTGCTCTAAAACTAGTATATTTATTATTCAAAACATGACTTCCCATAAGCCTCGCTTTCGTCGTAATATTCACTAGAACAACCTTCGCTCTCGTAACCAGGGCAATCTTTGTTCGCAAGTTTTACTTTGCTTTAATGTTTGGGCATCACAAATGGCAGCAAACTGGGTCTAGTGGAAAGACACTTCAAAATTATTGTTTCACTTTGCAAGCAATGTGGCCTCGCAGGCAGCTGATATGCTAAATGCATTGAAGGGTTCGATAAACTTGTTGGCTAAATGCGAGGTCTGTCTTCGCTGTGTAGGAATGCCTGTTTATGGGGATGTAAGTTTTGTGGGGATTTTGAAGCCTTTTTGCCACACATGCAGATCATTGGACCTTTGGTTTCGCAGCTTTGGTTTCAAATGATTTGAATAATCATCAAAATTTTCTCCAGTTCAGGGGTCGTTGTTCTTTTCAGACCTTGAATAAACACTGAAGAAACCCTGGGTTTTCTTTCAAAAGTAAACTTGTTAAGAAAATGTACCGTTATTCATCTGCCAACACTTTTTTCTCCACCAGTTTTACTTAAGGTTATAGCTCATTGTCTTTTTGACTAAATTTAATCTTCTTCTAAACAAAACTTGAGCGAAAAGCCGTAAAACTTCACATGAAAATGGAGAAAATGTAAGCTACCAACTTAAGAACTTAGCGAACTAATAACAGATTCTCTTCTAACTGGATACCGAACTACGATATATCTAAATAGTTACTTGAACTAACAATTATTGCTTCCCTTGCGTTTGTGATGCCTATTTACAAAAAAATTGTTACTGAATAGTGCAAATTTACCAAGTAAATGCCCATTCGTATCTCGTTAGATTCCAAAATCAACACAAGAAGTCCGTCACGGTTAATCGCGAGCAACCTATTTAGATTCCTTCCTGTGTCTCATTTGTTTATTTCATTATCCAAGTGGACGATGAATTTTACAAAAATAACGTCAGCTAGAGTTGTTAACCAAGCCAACTCGGTCGCTCGGATCGAAAGGAACTGTTCATCAGATAACGGTTACAAAACGGCGGGGCAAGGGACTCTCTGCCGCATCACATCAAGTATAGTGCGCATAGCATTGTCCAGATCAGAACTAGAGCAATGTTAGTGTAAGCCTTCAACGACATTGCCGAGTTGAAACTCTGCTCATAAGCAACATCTTGATTTGAATTGGCGGGTTCCGTTTCTCTTTTCTTAGGACCATCTGTAAGAAAGAATTCCTTTGGAATAGTAAATTTTAGAATGCTCAAGTCTATTTTTCGTGTTTTGACTGCATTTGTTGGACGGGGTGAATGGTCATCAGCGCCAGTGACGACATCGGCACATCGTCGTAGTGGTATCTGAAACGAGGACGGTCTCTTGTCTGGTGTGTTTGGTACAATGTTCATAGTAGAGCTCTGTCCTGTATAGAGGTCTATGTCTCCATCATCATTCTTTACCGCCTTCAGTACATCATACTCAATTGAAGGGATGCCTATTCTAAACATTCTGCAGCCTTGTGTTGATTTAACGCTTTGAGTGTCCCCTGCTTTCCATCTCGAAGAAACTCCACATGTTCCCTCGGGCTCAGCCTGCAGTAGCTCAACAATCAGCATTTCGTACGGCGTAATTTCAGTATCTGTTAAATTGAAAGCAACGTTGTATGCTCCTGCAATAAGACCAGACTTTGTTGGCGTGCTGTATTTCCCTCTCGCTGCAATTTTATAGCTAAGAACTTTGCATGAAGAGTCAAGATAGAAGTAGTACACCAGTTTCCACGTCCGTCTTCCCTTACTGTCCGGCCGGGAAAACTTTAAGTAACGTGACATGAACGTGTCCGAAACAGCTTGACATGAAACGCTAGTCCATTCGCCCTCAATGCGCATATCTTTTCGTGGAAGCGGCAATCTGATAACATCATCAGGTTTAGCCGATTCCAACTTCTTACAGACCTTGCAACTAGAACTTGACCTGCTCAAAGGGAAATGATAAGCAGATGGCACAAAACTTCTCCGACTTGGTTGTGTGGGGGTCTCTCCAAAATAGAGCAAATCATCTACATTGCTCCTTCGCTTATTGCGTAAGATTCGCAGGAGTTTATGTGTGTAAAGGTGAATGCCAAATTTCGATCGGCACATTGCGTTTCGATACACATCCTTGGTCATGGTGTAGTTTTTTAGCATCTTTATAGTTGCCTCCCCGGACCTGTCCTTTTGTAATTGAGGTAGGCTTGCTTTTGGACAGTACTGCTCTGCAGTCTAAAATGAACATTAGATTGTTTAGGTTTAATTGAACAAGGATTGCAAATTGGACAACTGTTGGTTAATTCGAGTTGATAACGAAGCACCTATTTCTTGATAAGGGTGTAGTTTTAAAAATAAATTACTTGAAATGTGTGTGTTCAAGCGAGTTCCTTACAGAGGAAAGCGTTGATAATGGCTTTTTGACTGCAACTGCAAGATCAAAATGAGAGGCACCTTGATACGTATCATTCTAAAAAACCTCCGTCTGTAAATTTCATCCTAGTGGGGCAGAAGAGGGTGGTGAAATCCGATATGGACCCGGGGATTATGGATTCCTACCAATAAGACAACCATACATTACAAAAATATGTTGCTTGAACCTGAAAAGTTTGAAGAACGTAACAGACGTAACAAGATGAACGTAGGAATATAATATGGCTTGCAGACGTAACAAACAAAGCCTCTTGAATTTCAACTCAAAACAAGGGTCGTTAGAAGTGGCGGAGTTGGGGGAGGGTTGGGGCTTTAGCCGTAAGTAATTTCTCGATAGTGCTCTAAGCCTATGAAGACTTTCTGAATTCAATACACATGTATATAAAAAGCATTTTTGAGTTTGCAAAAAGTATATATTAGATCCTGGCTCAACATAGATATTTTTATATGCGGTAAACTTCAAAGACTCGTTTTATTATTGGCCACTTAGAGATCAGTTAATGAGTTAATGGAGACTGTTTTTTAACTTGGAAAAAAAATCGATATTGGCTTTTCGTCCAAGTTTGGTTATCACGATACACGCATTGTGAACCATGACGAGGTTATCGCGATACATACCTTCAATAATTCAATAAGTGAAGTCTTGTCGTGTGGTACGAGCAAGAAGGACCTGGACGTGAAATCTCCTTGATATCCACCAAGTGAATTCTTCTCTCCAACGCGAAAAACCCCACTCATATGAACAGTGAATGTGGGAACGGTGCACGAACCGTCTTTGAAATGGTAGTAATCAGCACTCCACCTGCCATCTTGCCTTATGACGTACTTTCGCAAAATGAACTGTGGTCCGTGGTAAGCCTCGCAACTAATGTAGGGAAAAGAATATCATAAATAGCTACTACAGCTTATATAGTTACACTTAAACTTCAAAGAACATCCCATTAGTAAAAAAGCTTATAGAATTATAGAATTTCCTCAACACTCGCGAGAATTTCAAGATTATATCTAATTACACCTGCATCAATTGAAAGAAAGGTTTTGCTCTAGTTTATGCTTTTGATTCACAAGAAGCCTCCAGCACGTGTCCAGAGTCAAGTTTGTAGCCTTTCAAGGCTGGTCTGCCTTTTACTACTGATGTATTTTTAAAATTTGAGAATTCTAATTGGCCAATTTCCTTATTACGTAAATTTCTATGTGATGCATAAATTGATGCTCAATTGGTGCATTTTAACCTTTGATAAAGCGTGAAAGCAACTATTGTATGGAATTTCTGAAGAATAAGTATTGGCAGCTAATGAATAAAACCACTGAATCGTCATGACAGGTATTATCTTGCACCAATATATGTAATCAATTGGGCCAAATGGAATTTTGCCAACAAAAATATGAAAGATAACAAGCCACAAGGTAGATCGTCTAACGATTTTTTGTGAAATTCGCTATGTGGAAGTTCTACTCAGGTAGAAGGTGCAATCCGCAAAATGGTTTAGAGTTGTTTGGTCATGATTAGAAAAGTGTTTTTGCACAAAGCTGGCAGAATTTTTGTGACTGAATAATGATCACAGTGACCCTTAAAGACTTTTTCAAGCTGAAATTGTGCGGATTTGTGCTTTCTATGTTCGTTTTGCTGGAAAAAACAGAGTTGGAATCTCATAGTTCACCTCACTGAACAGTCAGTGCGGTTTTTCAAATGTTTAGGGGCTGCAGTGCCTACATCACATTTAGACTGTTCGATTTCATTTTAGAATCTCAACAGCTTGATTGTGGTCTCAACTTCTTTAAAAAGTATATTAGTTCACAGCTGTGGAAGTTTTAAATGACGTAGAGAGTGCATGGATACTCAAACCAAAACTGGTTTCATGTTCTTCTCGATATGGACATACCTTTCACGAAAAACTGATTTCCTGACCCACGCACAGATCAACACTTTATATTTGGCGATCATTTTTCAGTTAATATAATACGAACTTGCCCGAAATGAATCAACCTCCTCTCTCGCTATGTAGCAACAACATGTCAGGTTATTTTACTAGCAATATCGCCAACTACCATGAAAGCAATACCTGAACCATAATCCTCAGTTTAAGATAGAAAAAGTCGAGAGACCCTTAAAAATAAACAGAAAAGGAACGTCGTAAGTCCCTGGCGATAACGCCTCCAAATGTATCTTTCCGGCATAACAACACCTGTGGCCTAAACATTATTATTCGGCGGGGTTTTGAAACAACTCTACGCAGACTCTAGCAGGGTCATTTGGGGGTAGCAATGGCTAGACTATGTGAAGAATGTTTCAGGACTAGCAAGGTCTTCCAGGTGACGTAGAAGCCTAACGATGTTTTCCTGGCTGTCCAGACCTGCACTCCAACGCTAGGCTCGTGATTTGAAGGGGGTGTTGCATTAACTTACTGTCAATGACTCGTGGTTACCAGTTAACATTAACAGTAGAAAGAGGCCCCTTTAAAAAGGAGCAACTTTGGGAAATCTTAGATGTGAAAAGATGTCCTTTGTCCAGAAATTATTTTTCAAGAGTTCGATAAGAGAGAAACTTGGGTGCAAAGTTATTAGTAGGTTTTCGTTACTGTGATATGCTACATAAAATAAACATAGATTTATAGATTTATTCTTTCAAGAAAACAAACCTTGATGATGTCCAAATTCCTTTTAATTCTCTGTTGTTTAGGGTTATACTTTCAAGTTGAGAGTACTTTCGGATATTTTTGGCATAATTTTCACAGCTAGTTTTTTCCTTCATTCTTTCAGCCTTGCTTTGATCTAAAAGACGTAAAAAATTATATTGCAGACATTGCATTAATACTTTTCTCCTTGAATTGAAATACATACTGCCAAAGATCTGAGATGGAATGCTCTACAAGGCACTCCATCTCATACCTACCCTTTCCCATGAAGTAGTCTCAATCTTTTAAAACTTATTCTTAGTAGTTAAAATTCTTGCCTTGAAAACTGAGCTTGTTTTCGTTTTAAAATTGCTTCTGTTTCCAGTTTGGTATCGTTTGACCTAGACAAATGTGAATAGCCCCGATAAAATTCAAACTGGAAAGAATTACTGGACAATGTTTGTAAAACATTGAACAATATTATGCTACCAAATACTTTTAGGTCAGACTGGGTGACCAAGACACCCAGAAGGGGGTTTATCAATGAAAAAAGCTGCATGTGGATGAATGGTCCTGCTCAATCTAAATAAAGTTATTTTAGTGTCTTACTTTCCGTTTAATTGTTATTGAAAATGGACTAAAATCGTGTATTTAAAAAGTTAATATGTCTGGGTGGGGGCTAGAGGCAAATCACTGGGAGCCTTAGCAAGCGGTGAAGTGAATAAAAAAAATCATTCTTCAGGCTTGGTCCTTACTGGACACCAGTAGAGGAAATACTCTTTATTTCTTTGTTAAAACAAATTTAAATCGAAAAATAAACAGCTAAAGAATTTATATTTCTTTAAAAGGGATGAATCGCTATCTGTTGGAATGATGTTTTTTTTGAGTAAATTTGGGAGCGGCATTTAATGAATAATCGATATTGATTATGGATTAATCTACTCAGGGTGTCTTGGTCCAAGATTTTCTTAGATATTGTCCACTATAGTAAATCCTGGATAAAACTATTAGTGGAAACAATATTTCAGTTGTGACGTGGACTATTGTCAGCGCAATATTAATATCGTTCCTTGGCCTAAAATCTTTGGCGTTGATACCATTGAAGCAAAAGTCAACTACTGTAATTAAATTGAGCAGGAAGATCCACAGTCGGCCTTTTTTCATTGTTAAACCAAATGAATAATACGTAATACGGAAAATGAAAGACTAAAATTACTTAATTGCTATCATTGGTGGATTTTAATCTGTTAGGCCATGATTCCTTTTGTATTGGATTATTGGGAAAATGTAAAAAAAATTGTGTTATTTTTAGTATTCATACCATGATTTCAGCTTGTGCAGTAAAGTATTTTTGTTAATTGTATAGAGGGGTTTGGAGGCAGCTAAATGAGACGTGTATAGATAGGCAAGGGAGAGAAGAATTACAAGCAATTCCTTGTCGAAGTGTACGTTCTTAGAAAGATGGGACCATAAACATGCAATAATCTGAAAAAACTACCAATGCTAGAAAGCAACAGTTTTCAAAGATGACATTATCTTTCCATGCATATTGGACATCCAGTCAGTGCAAATGATATGTCATGATTGGGTATTCACTTCTTAACCGTTTTGTTACTTCTATGCAACATTCACCCCTTACTTGATTGCTCGTGTCGCACTTCAAAATACAAAGTGACGATTTGAAAGAATTCCTGTTAAGCTCCTTTAGTACTGGGTCTTTACAAAATTTCTTACAGGCGAAATAACGTGTGTTCCTCTATACAAAAGAATTCTAGGTATAGTATACACGACACCAGCCTTATTATTTGTAACAACCTGCTAGGCATTGTCAAAATTTTGCAAATGCTTGTGTTAGAAGCGTTCTGTTGCGAGGCAGACTCCAAAATCGATAAATGCTTAATTGACTGTTGGGTGTGTCTGAGACATCATGTACTTAGGGCACCACCCTCAGGAGAAATGATTTCAAACGGCTCCACCTTCTACCTGCTTCCCGAACCTGATGCAAATACGTGCCCTTGTTTTGCATTACCTTTCATTGTTATATGTCTGTGCTGGTAGCTCTGTTGACTCAAAGGATTGAACTTGGAAATACATGTGCGTTTCTTCATTGCTTTAATCGCAAACAATAAGCGCGCAAATTAGAATGAATTCCTATTATTTAGCAACTATTTGCAATCGCTGAAACGGGCATGCCCATGCTAATTTATGGTAGTCTCCACACTTCTATAGTTTTCAAAACACCAGAGGGCTGTTTGAATAAAATCCTCTAAAACCTGCTCTTTACTTGCCCCTACAAATGAAGGAAAGAAGAGGCCGGGGTTTTAGAAAGTTCGCTAAAGGTTTTCAGAACGTGGTTTGGATGTATTAAACTATCGCGATCAGGGTTTTTTTGTCAGACGCGGGATAAAGCTTCTCTTCGAATACTCCAACCCCCAAGGCAGTATCACCACTCCCGCTACCTATTTCCCTGATGTTTGGCGTTCCAAAATGACAAAATTCAGTAACCAAAGAGTACTTTTCTAGGAATTTCAGAGAACTCCTTTAATTCATTAGGAGGAGAGTTTCGAGAACAGTTTATAGAAGCAATGCACATTAGTCCCAAAGATACGTTGTCAACATGCGTGTGAATGGATAAATTACGGTTTGAAATTCCTAGTCAATGGTCTACTCTTTTTGTTAACTCTTTAGAAAGTGAGGAAAACGTTTGTACCATTGGGGTTGAAAACCAGTCGTCTTTTTGACGTGATTTCTTGCCCGTCTTCTTTTTTCCACGCTGTTTAAGCCCTCTATTCTCTTCATGTAGCTTCATTAACGATACACACATGCGTGAATCATCAAAATGTTGTCTTTCATGGTAGTTCGGAATATTTCAAAGGATATTGTTGGGTAATTCTACGAACACTTGTTTATTAAGCATTCCTTATTGATGCAGCAAACAATTTAAGATAGGTCACGAATGATACTTGCATATCTCATTGCTGAAAAACGAACTGAAACGCCTATACAGTTTAATTTTTCTGGTGAACCGTTGCAACTAAACACATTCCACTACCCCTGTTGCTAGTGGCAAACCATAATGCAAACACCCCACCCCTTGTATCACTTAAAGCATTGCTTTTAGGTAGATATAAAAATCGAAGCAGAATGCTCAAGCACCATCACCAGGGAAAGTCGCTCCTTATTTCCAAATTAGGGGAATATACCTTCGCTTGCAACAAGGTTTATGAAAGAATAGAATAATTTACCGGTCTACCGACCACACCTCCAGGCATCAAAGTTTTAAAACTTTTGTAATTTCATTATCGGTAGGGTTTCTGCAGTCCTTTACTTGCAATTCCTGCCATATTTATTTCAAAGTACAACGGGCAAAAGAAACATACACAACATATTTTATTCCTTTACAAATAATCTTATTTCTACGAGCTACCCCTACATTTTAAAGTAAATGACATTCACTATGAATTTAATATTTGTCTGTTGTCAATATTGAGTATGTTGGGGAACTTTGCGCTGCGCAGCACCATATTCCCACGAACGCATCACAATAGGTGATATTCTTGTTGTTATTTTCTAGCACTAATGACTAATCTGTTAAGCTTGTCACTCTGTCTTGAGATTTTATATAATGGCTGCAGAGCAATTGTGAAAATCACATATTACTGATATTTAGCTCATTAATACCTTTTATTGTTATGTTTTGTAATTGGGAGTGTCTTTAGAGTAATTATTTTTACAGTAAACAGATTGGGAGTGTAGAGTGTAGAGTGTAGACGTAGAACTTAAAACAGATTGATTAATATGATGAGAAATTGAAGATTGATGAAATGTTTGTGTTCAATATTCTGGAGAACCAGCAATAGATTAAATGTTTTCATAACATAAAATGGTCCACCGAGCGGAGCCGGATTGTTGACAATTATGGATGAAGAAAGAGTGAATACGGCAAAGAAAGAGCGAAGAACGATACGAAGTTTAGCAACGAAGTTGGTTAACAAGGTTAAAGAGTGTTTGGATGAAGCGAGTGACGGGGTTGACGATCGCAAATTACGACAGTTTCGAGCTGCATTGAAAGAGAAGTCGATAATTTTGAAGGAATTGGACAAAGAAATTTTAAACTATCTGTACACAACAGATGCAGAGGATGAGATTTGCGAGAACGAAGCAGAACAGGCCAGCGAAATCCAGGAAAAGATCGATTACCAATTGATTTGTGTCGAAGACATATTGAAAGAAATGGAGGATGAAAAGTTGTCTATTAATTCAAGTTCAAAATCTCACTCAGCGTCGAGGGAAAGTATCGTGTCGATCGCATCAAATGACGATGGCCACTCGAGTGAGTCGGAACTGCAGCATTCGAAGAGTCGGAACGATCGTACTGTCAGAGTGAAGTTACCTAAATTGCAAATGCGGAGTTTTAGTGGGAAAGTACAGGACTGGCAAGAATTTTGGGATTCCTTTAAGAGTGCTATACATGAGGACCCTGGTCTTGCTAAAATTGATAAGTTCAAATATCTGCGGAGTTTCTTGGATGAGCCGGCCAGAAGAGTGATATCGGGTCTCGCATTAACAGATGCTGAGTATGATTCAGCAGTGGAGTTGTTAAAGAAGAGATTTGCTAAGCCAACTTTAATAAAGAGAGCGCACATCAACGACATGATAAATTTAGCTCCAGTGTACAATGAACGAAATGTTGGCAGATTACGTCATTTCTTGGATGACATCGAGACTCATTTCCGTGGACTTGAGGCCCTTGGTGTTGACAAGGAAAGTTATTCGTCAATCGTTGTTCCGGTCTTGATGGACAAACTTCCAGAAGGAATACGGATAAACATGATTAGATTTGGTGGTGATTATCTTAACTGGGGACTAGATGAAATGATGGAGGCTTTAGCCAAGGAGGTGGAGATCCGGGAGAGCCACGTTTCGGTTTTTCGACCGCAACCGTCTCAGTCGCAAGTGTCTACGCCTAGGCCAATTCAACAGCCGCATAGAGAGAAGATTGGAACAGCAAGCAGCCTGTTTACTCAGGAGCCAGTGGGCAAGAGATGCGCATTTTGTTACGAAAACCATTCTGCGGAAGATTGTGTTAATGTTAAGGGACCAAATGAACGTAAAAATTTGTTGTCTAGATATGCAAGATGTTTTCTGTGCTTGAGTAAGGGGCACAGGGTATTTCAATGCCGTAGTAAGGTAAATTGCAAATATTGTAAGGGTAAACATCATTTTTTGATATGCACTAGCAGGCAATGTAAGCCCTTGGGTACTGTAAGGTCCAACGCAAGCGCAAGTAAGGAAGTTCAGCAGCCTCAAGCTAGTACATGCGAGCATCCCCTAAACCCATCTGCTGAGGCCTGGGTTGGTAGCACAGGTTCATTTTGCCCTACTTCTGGAGAGCGAGTGGCTCTGCAAACAGCCTTGGCAAGAGTAGAGGGGAATGAAAAGTGCAAAGTACGGGTGCTGTATGATTCAGGTAGCCAAAAAACATTCATTTCTGCCAAGGTTGTTAACAAGCTAGGTTTGAAGCCACTCAGAGAGGAAGAGCTGGGAATAAAAACATTTGGTAGGAATGAGCCGGAAGTAAAAAAGAGAGCAGTGTGCGAATTAAGCTTGGTACCTTTAACTGGAAATGCTAGGAGTGTTCGTGTTCAGGCATTTGTTGTTGAAGAGATTTCCACGATCAATAATATCCATGTTGAGGAAATAAAAAAAAGCTATGCACATTTGTCTAATGTATATTTCTCAGATGTTTGCAGGTCAGCAGATTCCCTTGAAATAGATATTTTGATTGGATCCAATTATCTGTGGAATTTCCAAGAAGGTCCAGTTATAAGAGGGGGGCCTAAAGAACCAGTGGCAGTGAAGACGGTACTTGGGTGGGTGTTGTCAGGACCAGTTTCATGTAAGAATGACAATTTTGATTCTGATAATCTTGTTTCTCTTGTTGAAGAGTCTACAGAAGTGAGTGAAGAAAGGAAGAAAAATGTTGTTGTAATGACTGTGTCAGAAGAGCCTATTGGGCTGAGTGAAGTAATTGACATCAATCGGCATGGAAGTTTAAGCAAGTTGTTGAGAGTCACAGCATACGTATACAAGTTTATCAGCAATTTGAGGAGGAAAAAAGCCAGGAAAAAAATCAGGAATGGAAAGAAAGAAAACTTAGAGAAAGGAGACCAAAAATCAGGAATGGAAATGGAAGGAAAAGAAAGTAATGAGAATGAAGTGAAAATTGAGGTACAGAGTAAGAGAGGGGCAAATATATGTCCTCAGCGCGCAGCAGCTAGCAATGCACGTGCCAAGACCAAACTCATGCTTGATCCATAGTGGATCAAGGAGGGGGGAATGTTGGGGAACTTTGCGCTGCGCAGCACCATATTCCCACGAACGCATCACAATAGGTGATATTCTTGTTGTTATTTTCTAGCACTAATGACTAATCTGTTAAGCTTGTCACTCTGTCTTGAGATTTTATATAATGGCTGCAGAGCAATTGTGAAAATCACATATTACTGATATTTAGCTCATTAATACCTTTTATTGTTATGTTTTGTAATTGGGAGTGTCTTTAGAGTAATTATTTTTACAGTAAACAGATTGGGAGTGTAGAGTGTAGAGTGTAGACGTAGAACTTAAAACAGATTGATTAATATGATGAGAAATTGAAGATTGATGAAATGTTTGTGTTCAATATTCTGGAGAACCAGCAATAGATTAAATGTTTTCATAACAGAGTATAAGTGACCGAGAGTGAAATTAGTTTCAAAATGAGAGCAACGATTTGTAGAGACAACGCACTGGCTGAGCATCGCGGCCTACGTTGGTTGTGAGCTTTGACTTCGGGCTCCAGACCATGTAAATGATATAAAAAGCAAGATTTGGCGTTTTACAGTTTAATTCTGTTACGAACCCCAACGGACAACTGGCTGCTGTAAGATCACTGCACAGATTTACCATGCTTTGATGAAGTTCTTGTTACAACCTTACCTTTAAACTAGAAACTGTTCGTTCACGCGGTCTTTTCGAATGGTTTTTCGATAAACGAGCGAAACTCGAAACGTCCAAGTTTGACCTCATCCAACGGTTACTTACTTCAAATCCAGCAAGTCAAGGTTAATGGAAAAGTTTTTATTTAAGGATTATCAACCAGTCTAATGTTTTCCGAGACCGGCTCTTGAGGTTAGTCAGTCTCGATATGCAGAACATTTGCGGTACCAGGTGCGTCGAAATAGCTTTCAACTAACAATGTCGTGTAGCTAGAGAAGGACAAAAAAACTGGCAGAAGATAATGATCACGATAGGGGAAGATTTCGATACTGAACGGAAATAGCTGAACGGATGATCGCAAAGGAGCTGGATTATTGTGAAGTCACTGATATCTTAATCACGAATAGTTAGTGGGTTTTCATTAGCAAATGTTTGCGATATGCGGTGCAAATAGGAAACTTTACCAAATTCTACGCTAGATACAGTGTCATGTTCGAAGCGTATAACAACTAGTTTATCAAATTATCACATCACTCGTCACCATGTGAAGTCTATGGGCTTCAGTGACAGATCTCAAAATGTTGTAAATAGCCCGGATCTTCATCTAATTATCATATACAACCTCTATTAAGAGAAAAAATCACGTGGAGTACACACCATTACCATTGAAGATAAAAACCATTGCAGCCAATATGACCTTCAAAATGTTCATCCTGATGAAAATCTACAGAAATTCACGACTGTTCTCTTGCATGAACTCACTCTCTGCCTGCAGTAATTGCTTTTCCAGAGTTGATTATCTTTACACTGCCTTGATCGTCTGCTTCACTTAAGACTGTTTGCCTTAATGGGCTTATGTCCTGAATTTCCAAATGTAAAACAAACACGTTCAACCACACTGGATCGATATATGTATGAAATAGGCCAAGTTTGTCATATTGCTTTATACTTATGTGCTAGCTTGTTGAAAGCATTCTATAGTTAAGTGTCTTAAACGCCTCCTATTGATGTATCTAATGGCCCTTTAAATGAGTCAGCCGCGACCTCGAACCGACGGTCGCCATCCATGCTGCACTTGTAGGCTCGATTGCAACCTGTCTTCTTCCACAATCAAAGCACGAAGATGTACCTTTTATGTTTTGTAGTAAAACCAGTTATGCGAAACTGACCGTCCTCAAAGTATCAAGAATACATAATGGGAGATTTGGTAGGTTTAAGGAAACCTCATCACAAGAAATGATTGTAACAAGGTGACATTTTTTTAAACCGCGCCAGCTAGAATCCATTAGCCCTGTATAGCTAAATGGCTCTAGAGTCTTTACAATTCTCCGATGAAGTTTATCAGATGTTGATAATTATATTCGGGCCTTTGCTAAATGGATTTTCGCGTTAAAGTCAGAATAGTCGTTTGAGGTCCTTACATTCGCTGGAAATGAGAATCTTTTAATCGGCGTATAGTGGTTTGAGGAAAGTCGCAACTAGTCTCGGTGAAGTCACACAAACTAATACCTTTTCAAGCCAGAATTTAAGATTTAAATGCAATTGTGAAAATTGGCACCTCTGTTTCTCCCTGCTTAGTACTTATTCTATGTAGTATATAGCGTCATTTGTGTACAGTGTTGGCTTTTGTAAGAATGTTGAGTGTTTTAACGATTTCGCTATTAAAGTTTTATGAATTCCTAATGTTCCTTTAACATTTAGCAAGCCGCTTCTGTAGATATGGTTACATAGTCTGTTGAGGACAACCAGAATGATATCTTATCAGGGTCGCAAAATGAAAAACAGTTTGAATATTTAGAAAAGGGTAATTAGCAGGTCAAGGAAGTTTTAATAATATGTCACAGCAAATAAAAAACAGGCATAATGGGACCAATATCTTAAAGTGGACCAATTTTTCAAAATTCCAACAAAATTATTGAATGTGTGCACATAAAGTGAATTAACTTTTCCTAAATAAAACATGTCAGGCACCAATTAACCCATTATTTTCTAAAACTGCTGTGCCCCCTTATCATCTTGCCCCTGTTATTAAATTCAATTCGGAAATCAAACTTAATCCTTCCATACCTTTTATGCCCGGGCACTAACACATTAAACGCAAAAATAATGAAAAATTGTTCAACGGTACCATTGCAACATAGCATCGTACGGAATAGGATCGTATAGTTAAAATAGTGGGTACAGAATAGGATCTACAGTACCCTATGTGCCAGAGGCACATAAATTCGAGCGCCTAAACAGAAAGCCAAGCGGAGAAGCGGAGGAGCTTCTAGCTGAGAAGAAGGTAGAGAAAGGATTTTTCCTTCTTCCCAGATAGGCGCTCCCCGTTTTTCCACTCCCATCTTCTAGTTCCGCGATCGAATCTATGTGGTTTTAGAACCCAGGGTAGATCTGCAATTCTCTATTTAGCATACATGGTGCTGCAGTCCCTACCAACTTCCTGTCCTTAAATTTGTTGCGTATTCTGTTGAATTTATGTATCATACAATTTTAACTTCTATAAACCACTCACCACTCCCCACCTACCCTGAAATGGTAATTGTAAAAAAGATGTCGAATGAGACCAATCTGATTATTGAGAAGCCAAAGTATGACTCAAAAGGCAGATAGACCAAAATAGAAAAGCACTTAATTTTTAGCTTGAACTGCTAATCTGCTTAAACGACGACTCAGAAACTTTTTCTTTGCGAAATGAATTCAGTAAGCTGAAAGAGGCATTCAGAATAATTACAACCCTGTCTTGTTGAATTCTCTAAAGATCCTGTGGTCAAAATGGAATGGTAAGCTCTCCAGCAATGTTTTAGAGACTTCGTTACATAAAGCATTTTCTACAAATATACCATGTCATGTCATAAAATTACTAAAATCTTACTACTGAATAACAATTTTGAATAACAATTTCAGCAGTAATGTTTTTTGCCGATACAATCCACGAGTTCCTGAAATGCATACATCATCATTTTTTATTCAGCTGATTTAAGTCTGTTACAAAAAGAATTAAACTAGATAATATAGTTTTGATAAAGAACAACCTGAGTCCTCGCTTAACACTTTGTGAAATATTAATGAGGCTTAAAGTGGTAGCATTTCTTTTAATATTTAATGTTCCATTTACCAATGCTATAAAGCGCAAACATTTTGCCAGACAAAATATACCAAGACTTTACATCCAGATTGTTGGATGCGTTGAAATTCCCAGCTAACTAGTTACTCAGGTACAATATTGTATAGAATTATGCCAAGCTCAAATGATACTTTGCTTGATACATTTTCTAACCAAGGTTGTTGAATCAACAAAACCAAAGACATGAAATATGTTAATATAAGGAATGAAATGTTTTTTTGGAAGCAATTAAAGCATAAAACATTAAAAGACTTTTTCAAGCAACCCAGCAATAGTTATTACAAAAATTTGCTTCAAAAAGCCTAATTCCTTACAAATTCATACCCCGATATTTAAGTGTAAAGACTGTACTTGTTGCCAAGGGCCACGCAAATTTTTAAAGAGCTCTGCATTCAATATTTCACCTCTATCTATCTATGGCTGTACATGTTACAGTACAACTTCAAGATAACCATTGAAACCAGCTATTTGATAGTAGGTATATAATAAATGATAGTTATAGATGTGTACAAAGATAGAATGATATCAATGTTAAAAAGACAAGCAAAGATATCAATTGTTGCGTGTGAGTTTGATATCATTCATTGTCAAACCTGTATCACAGAAACTACCTGTCTTCTTGCATTGAATCAAGCAGGTTTTATAAAAAAGCTCATACCAAAAAAAGTAGGCCGAACGAATCTACTATCATTTCGTTTCCTCGCAGGGGGCTGGGAGTTTAGTTTTGCTGAGCATCATTCTGTAGAAAAGCTTCCGCTGTATCAGGTGCAAATTAAAGCTCTGTCTCAAATCAAAAGTTGTGCTAAACTTTATCAGAAATGCTAGATGTAGTTAACTTTTGGTTTCAAATAAATGCTAAAAGAGAGGGGGGCTTTCTAGAGAAGGAGGGTTAATGTGACTTTCTTCTTAAAGAGGGGGCTTGATAAAGATTTGGGCTTTACAGGGTTTACAAGGTGGCTTTTCGTAAGTTTTTTCTCAGAGAGAAGGGTTTTTTGGAGATAGGAGCAATAGAAAGGGGTTTAAAGAAAGTTTTTACGATAATGACCTTTTCATGAAAGGGGGGGAAGCATTTTCAATTGATGAGGCGGGCAATGAAATTACCCTCGTGAAAATAACTTTTCCTGTTACTTTTCTACAAACTGCTCATAGTTTTTTGCCATTAAGAACTCCCTTGGTAAAATGTCATTTTTTTAAAGAACGGGAAAAAGGGCGGACTTAGCGACCACTAATCGTCTTCCGTGCGTCCTTTGGTAGGTCTTTGTGGCATGAATCTGGGCAGTTCATCTCTGATCATAGTGTTTAATGAATTGTCGAGTCCTTGCTTAAACAGAAGTGTTAACAATAAATTGGGCATAAGTCTTTTAATGCCAGCTAAATTCATATTTAAACTGATCTTAAGTGAAAAAGGCTGATCAGCATAGAGTATAAATCAAGAACGTCGAAATGGCGAACATCTAGACCGGGAAATTAATCGCAGAAATATAGAGCATGTACCAGGTGCCCTTGTGGATGAGCCTTGGACGAATATCTGCCTATCTTTTTGTTCTATCTTTTATAATCATATTTAATGTTTGCAAATAAGCTGACGGTTTGATAGATAGCCTCACAGAAAGATTCCTTCTTGCTGTTTTTCTTGGCGCCATCCGACTAAAATTAAATGAATAACAAAATTTATGATGGAAATAGTTACGCCTGGTCGATGTAAGATCATTTTAAAACTAAATCAGCTATTTGCTGATTTGTTGCGAAATTTTTCTTCTATTCATTGGAAATCTTCTATTCTTTAAAGTCTTTCAACGTGATTGCAGATTATTATTATTATTATTATTATTATCACTGCATCACTGAATCAGTAATTGCGTCATTAAATTCTTAGAATTCAGGCGACGAGAAAGGCTGCGGCTAAGTGCCGTGTGCTGAGAAGGACATGTTAATGGCTGGTGGCTTGTCTTCCATTAACGTATTATCTAGTGTCAATCAAATTTCAGGGACTTGGAGTCTTTATCTTCTGAAGTGGGAGGAGATCTCTTGCAAATACACCTTTAGAAACTCGCACGTATACAATTCGCTAACAAAACAAGTTTATCAACCAAAGATTTGCGTTAGCTCTCTTAATCAGATAAACCAGACTTAAAAATGGACTTTTGTAGGAATCTAAGGGCAACAGGTAAACCGCCTGCCAATTCTAAAGGGTGGGATAGATGACATCAACAAAGATGTGTGGACGTATTGGATATTGATATTCAATACCTGTTCGCAAGAGCTTTCATCGCATGGAGCCGCAATCCTTGCTGTTAGGCCACATTCGTCGGCTTAGCTTCATAGAAATCCATTTTGAGGAAACCCGTTTTGTTGGGACTTTTCAGTGTTTTCTGCTTTAATTGACAAGATGTGGAACCCCTTTTTCGTAGAAGTCCTTTTTCAGTAATGGAACAGCCAATGCGTCTTGTCTTTTCCACTGCCATACCTATAGAGGCGCCATTAATGTCCACCGTAGCCTGCCAAAACCGCACTCGCGAAGTTAAGGGTCACGAAATGGTCCTGCAGGAGTGTGGCAATTTGAATTTGCAGAAACATTCTAGGCTTGACAGGTAGATAAAGGGTAGAGTTGGGAAGCAATGACCCCTAAATTATTTTACAAATGGCGATTTCGATTTTTTCCTGTTGTTATTTGCGAGGGGCATTTCACTCTTGCAAATAGCGTACGAGATTTTCCCTAAAACAAAAGGATTTCCGGGGATTTTCGGATAAAACAATAGGATTTTCACAAAAGGTGTAGAAGATTTTCTTGGAGTGATTTGCCCCACGGTTCTTTCAGTATTTGCCCTTTCCTTTTTATTTTGCCACCAGCTCCGCTATTTCTTGAATTGCTTGTTTCACTCTTGCAAGGAGCTACATTTATCCTAATTTGGTCCAGGAATCGCAGAAATTGGAAAGGGGTGAGCAGGTTAAACCCCCAATGATTCTATGAATGTACCTAAAACGATGCGATGCTCTGGGTTTGTCTTTTAGCTCATCTTGCTCATGGCAATGTCTTTTAGCAATTAGCATGGACACCCTCTCCCCTCCCTCCAAAGCTGCTTAGGTCCCCCAATTTGTAACGTATTCTGCAATCTTGGGTGGATCCAATTTTCTAATGGAGAAAATCTGTTAAAAGGTATACCTTAGTTTTAGAGAATTATAAAATCAACCAAGTTTTAAAATCCATCTATTGTTCTTCTTCAATGGCCTAGCAGGTGCAGGTTTGATAGCATTTTCTCCAAAGGAAATTTTCATTTGTCTTATCAATAGACACCAACTTATAGAAATAACACTTCCGAATCTGGTATCTTTTTTCAGAGGTCTTCACCTCTGCAAATTAGTAGAATCATTTTTTGTCATATACAAACTTCTATAATTCTCGACAAGGAAGATCAATCTCGTTGTAAGACAGAATTATCGTTTGTTTATTGATACCCAGAATCCA